CCTTAGTGATGACCCCTCCTTTCCATTGGGAGTAAGCCAATATGACAGTTAAACATTATATTTCTGTCCATCTTAATTTGTTGACAAAAATATTCAAGGTTGACAGTTGAGTAAAATGGGCTTTAGCCTTCAATTTTTATGTTTTAATTCTCTTCAGGCTTGACTACAGCCTACTCCCGTTTTGTCTACTACGTGAATAGTCCTTCAAATGGTGGCAAACAGTTTAAACAATTTTGGGGTTGTTGGTAAATATGATTTAAGAGAGGAAAGATGAGCTGAATTCAGTTTTGAGTACAGGGAAAAGCTATAATATTAAAATGTTCTGCATCTTTTAACACTGGAAAAAATATATGACCACGTGGTATACCTGTTTTTTTTTTATTTAGCACATCAATGCACATCAAGCATATGAATCTCAAATCTCTTCAATTACCAAAAAAATTTTAAAGTTGGAAGGGGACCTCAAACATGAACAAGATGAAAAGTCTTCTGTATTGGCTGACCTTGCTTCTGTGAGAGAGTTGTGCATGAAACTTGAATCTAGCAAAGAACTTTTATCACGGCAGCTAACATCCAAAACCATGGAATATGAAAGGGTAAGAAGCAAAGGCAAATTTAACTTTTTTGTAGATGCATGGTTTGGTTCCTTTACCTCCTTTTTTTAAAATTGTAATCACTTTTTAAATCAGGATGGATAGACTGAAGTCAAAAGGACTTAAAACATTTTTATTGGGTGCATCTACATTTTAATTAATGAGCTGTAATTACAGCATATTAAGTTTAGGTACTAACTTAAGGCACCATAATTAGCGCTACTGCACATTAGTGCAGATGAACACTTTTTAAATGATGTTAATATGCATTAGACTAAATTTGTGCATTAGCTTGGGCTTCATCTGCTGCACTGGTGCACATTAGATTTAATCTAACGTGCTCGAAGCATATCGTGTAGGCATGCCCATTTTGTTTTGCATTTGTACTTCTAGTTATTTGCCTAAAGAGGTAATTTTCATTCATTAATAGTCATTAAGACATGAATTAGTGTACATATAACCCCTTATGCTAAATATGGCACTACTTTGCTAACTAGAATGAGACGCCACATATGTGCACATTTATAACATTCAGTTTCTTAATTTTAAAATTTAATTTATAAAAATGCTGATGACTATATTTATTTACTAAACAAGTATTTTATTTATTATTTACGTCAGTTGCATTTGAACTGATTTGAAATGCAAAAAATAGTATTGTAAAGTGTTTTTTAATTAAACTATGTTAAATATGCTGGATACTTAAAATATTTTATGTTTATATTTATGATGCATTAAACCAGTGGTGGCAACCTTCTCTGGGCTTCATGAATGATGTGGGACTTGCCCCTGTATGGTGCACACTCTGGATGGATTGGGATGCAAGTTGCATGTGGTGCCCACTCCAGCTAGTTTGGTGTGAACACTGCATGTAGTGCGAATCCTGGACTGGTTAGATTGGCCAGAGTGGGTGCAGTATATGGAAAGCCATAGAGGAATCGGGGGTGTCCCAGCATTGGAGGTTGGGTCATGTGGTTCCACGGGCTTTGACACCCTGAATTAAACGAAGGAAGCCCTGTAGTTAGTAAATTTGAACTCATGGTTGTCACGTCATTCAGGACTTCAGTTACTTCAGGTTTCATCCTCTCACACCTCCTTTAATTCATAGATTTGATGAGGAAAACATGTTCTTGCTTTTTCATTCAAAGTTGAGAAGCTGATTGGGATTTGAACTAGTAAATGAAATGAGCTAGTTGAATAAAATGAAAAAAAATCTGTGTTTTTTCTGCAAAAGAGGCTACTTCTGTCAAAATCTAGTTTAGCACTTCAGTAAACCCTTGTTCCAGTAAGCTTTGGAACTTTAGTAAACTGTAGCTTAGTCAAAGACTCTTACCAGTTCTGAAGTTTGACTTAGTTTAAAGGCAAACATTTCTTGCTTGCAATAATAACTTACAAATTTAGGCTTTGGGATTATTATTTCAATGTTAATTATTTTTTCATTAAGTGTGTTTAAAAAAATATAAATAAATCAGATTTTAGAACTGTCTATATTTATCTGTGCCGTCTGGCATGTAGATGCTCTTTATTAAGACTCTTGTGGAATGGGAAATTGGGTGCAGGTGGGTTTGGGAGTTGCACATGTAAACTAGCATTTCTTCCTGATTTTAATAATTATTGTATATACAACTTTTTTTATTTAACCAGGCCAGCTGATTGTGTACTTTACAGAAAGACTAATAATACTGTAGTTTAATAGATCTATTTTTCTGAAATTATGTAGCAACAAATTTGACAACAAATTCAGATTAGAGGTGATAACACCACTAGATTCAAGGACAAAATGTAAATATATTTGTAATAAACACATGATTCTGTTTAAAGTATGGTAGTGTTTTTGGTTTCAAATAAGTGGATTGAATTTTAATTCCTCCCTCTTTTCTTCACTTGATAGTGTTGCTACTGAACACAAGATTTAATTTTATTTCTATTTTTAACATGTATTTTGCATTTGACTGCAATTGAGAAATTTATTAAGTGAGAACTGTGTGTGTAAAGACACACACATAGAGTATAGATTCATGAAACGTGCGTGTGTGTGTGTGAAGAAAATATTGAATTACTAGCAAATGGAAAATTGAGGCTGGTGATTAATCTACTGCTATAATTGTTTTATACTCTAGGTTCTTGCTGAAATAGAAGATGTAAAGTCAGAAGCAGAATTGTTGAAAAAGCAGTTGTCAAGTGAGCGACTTACAATTCAGAACCTTGAAACGCTGTTGGCTACTAGTAGAGACAAAGAGTTTCAGAATCATTTAACAACCCATGAGAAGGATTCAGAAATTCAATTACTTAAAGACAAGCTAACACTTGCAGAGAGCAAACTGTAAGTTTTGACACACAAGTATATTTCTTAAAATAATTTGACTTAGCTTTTCCAAACAGGTAACTTTTTTGCTGAAATGCGTAAGTTGAAGAAAAATGTTGCTTCTATCAATATAAAATTCTTACGGCAGTTTCTTTAAAAAAAACTAATTCCTCTGTCCTTTGGAGCACAATCTTCCAATTTTGGGAAAAAGTATCTTTTGGTAGAAGAGTTGTGTAGCCATGATGATCGAGAAATTATGCAAGAGGCAGGGCTTACTTAAGGTGATATTTTTTATTGGACAAAGTGACGAAGAATGTCTTGCATACTTGTCTAACAGTCTCCCAACTACACAGCTGGTCCAATAGAAGATATCACCCTAAGAAATCCTTGCCTCTTGTAGTATAAAACATACGTTTTTTCTGTTCCTGTAAAAATGACGAGTTACTGCATAGATCTTTGCGGTGCATATAAAAAATCCAACCCTGCCAGTATTACTCGCATGTCTTTGCACATCATGGCATTTCAATAGTAAAGTAACAACTGAGATAGGGAAGTCAAGCATAAAAATTAGGAAATGCAAGAATTAAAATTGCTAATACTATCTTAAAATTCATAGATTCATAGATTAAGGGTCGGAAGGGACCTAGTAGATCTTTTAGCCCGACCCCCCGCCAGGGCGGGAGAACAACAAAAAACCCCAAAAGAGAAAAACGGGACTCAAATGAGTCCAGCCAGGTAGGCATCCAGCCTCTTCTTAAAGACCCCCAGGGTAGGGGCCAGCACCACTTCCCTTGGAAGTTGGTTCCAGCTCCTAGCCGCCCTAACTGTGAAGTAGTTTTTG